AGATGAAAGGTCCATTGGTAAAGCCCAGTTTCGCAAAGACAACAGCTCCCTCTTGTATCTGGGGAACTGCCTGCCAGGAAGTACAGGATGTCCCCAAGGGCATGTTTTTTTCCTTGTCAGCTAATATCCCCCTCCCTCCATCCCATGCAGGAGACGCCATGTCCTGCTCTGCGGGATATTCTCCCCTACTGGCCGCAGTGGATTTTCATTCTGATGTTAGAAGTGATTTGGCTCTGCCTGACCTTTTTGTTACCAGTGCCGGGTTGTCCCAGGTAAGGCTGTGCATGCCAGACTACTTTCTAGGGGGCATCAGATTGTTTTTTCTTCTACCAAGTAGAAAACACATTTTATTAGTTTTTTTTTAGATGAGAGCTTTTAGGCCAGCGGGGTCACGGGAAGCATTTATCATGTGAAAAAAGCTTTATTTACTTTGGTACTAAAGTACCTGGTGTTATAAAGGTGACATCATTGTTCCTTTCTATCCAAAGAAGAGCCTTCAAATCTCCCCGAGGTCTGTGTACCGCCATATGCGATCATCACGATGTCATCCCTGTGTCTCTCCTTGCCCCTTTGATGGGTGAGCACCTGCAGAGCAGGTGGAGCAGCGGCTGGGTGGCCAGGGCTGAACTCACGCGTTGCTTTAGGCTCCTGACAGTCCACCCGCCTGCTCGTGGCATTGCGATGATCAAAACAGGGTGGCCACCAGCCAGCTGTCCTGTAGGACCTGTGTTTCCCTGTGTGCCGCTGGCCAGGGAAAACAGCGAGCATTTAGTGTGCTGGGCTAGGGGAACAGCTGATAGGTGGAGCATACCAACGCTTTGTGCCGTAACCTGTTTGTTTCTGTCCTAGGGGCTATCTAGGTCCAGGGGGCATTGGAGACTTTGGAAACTATCCCAACTGCACTGGAGGAGCGTCTGGTTACATTGATCGTTTGCTTCTTGGAGAACAGCATATTTATCAGCATCCCTCTTCAAATGTGAGTAGCTTCTGGCTTGCAGGGTGAGGCTGCAGGCTAGCACTGAACATAGCTGGCAGAGGGGACTTGGGAGCGGTATGTGCAAGGGAGTGGAAGAGAAGCGAGGCTGGTTGCTCAGGTGCCCTGTAACAACTGTTTTCTCTCTAAGGTGATTTACCAAACAACGATGCCGTATGATCCTGAAGGGATCCTGGGGACCATAAATACCATTGTAATGGCATTTCTGGGACTGCAGGTACCTCTTTTCTTTCTGGCTGTGTGCTGTAATGGGAAGATTTGAAGGAATCTTGGAAGTGGGAAGGCAACTTGGTTTCTTTATTTAAGGCTAAGACTTGTTTAACAAAACCTTTTCCAGAGCAATGCTTTCAGGCTAACTTGCCCTGAGGTGAGTGTCAGAGAAGTGGAATCTAACCTGGCAGTAACTTGCATTAGATAAACTGAGACTTCCTCTCAGTTTTTGTAAGCTATGGTCACAAGAAGTTTGCAGAATAGCCAGACGGAAACTTCCTTTGCTTGTTTTAAGGTTGGGCTGATGCTGGGAGAAGACTGGCTCTGTGTATCTGAAAATAGGGCCAAGAGATGCATAGACTTCACAGCTTCATTTTAAACACAGTTTTACAGGTCTCAGGTGTACCTTGTTGCTAATTTTCCACTTGACATGCAGTGTTAGCCATCTTGCATAAGCGCTATGTGTGTGCTCACCGTCCCACACACGAGGGAGGCAGGAGTTCACATTTGTGTTACCGACATCAAAAGCTCACAGTTCACCACTGTGTTTAAAATAGGATATTATGGTGCTTTTGGATGATAGAATCATAGAAGGGACCTTAAAGGTTATCTAGTGATTGGTGGCTTTTCTGTTTGTGCAGCAGCTCATAACCAAACAGAAACTCTTGTGCTGGGAGTGTCACCACATGTAGCACTGGGGAAAAATTGATGGGGAATCTCAGCCTTTCAGCAACTTAGTTGAGACAAAACCTGTTGATGTTCTCTGTCTTAGCACAGGTAGCTGGTGGCATATATATCTGGCTCTTGAAATGCAGTTCCATTTATGGGCATTCATTACTTTTTTGTATTATTTTTGTATTAGGCAGGAAAAATTATCTTGTTCTACAAAGACCAGCACAAACAAATCATGAGTCGGTTCTTCATATGGAGCATAGTCATGGTAAGTCAGATAGTTATGTAGCTCTGTAACAGACACGTATTTTTATGCAATGCAAACTTATTATTTCTCAAACATGTTGCAGTGGTTATATAAACTTCAGCAACTTTCTATTTCAGGGAATTATTTCTGCTATCTTGACAAAGTGTTCTAAAGAAGAAGGGTTTATTCCCATAAACAAGAACTTATGGTAAGCAAAGAGATACAACCTTTAGTATAATTTTGTTAAAGTACTACTTTACCCTGGAGAATGTTTTACCTTTCTTACACTGAGATCTGTCTGTATCACATAGTTCTCTAAATAATCTTTCTACTGAAAATGTGTGTAGGTCAGTGTCGTATGTGACAACCACGAGCTGCTTTGCCTTCATCCTCTTATTGCTGATATATTACCTTGTGGATGTCAAGAGACTGTGGTCAGGTGCTCCATTCTTCTACCCAGGTCAGTAAAATCATAGCAGGAAACTTATTCCTTCCAATTCTTGCTGAATTGACACTATGCTTTATGTTTTCTGTGCTTCCATTAAAAGAGTTAGGACTTAGAATGAGATAACCTGAAGGATGCTAGAATGATGAACCTGAGCTGAATCTTTGTGTGGAACTGGGATACCCTAAACCAGATATTTAGGAGAGAGGGACTGTCAGTGTTTAAATGAGTGCTGGAAGGTGCTATTGCCAAATGACCGTTCCAAGTTAGGTCTCGAGATAAGGTCCCAGGGAACAGCTGCCTTAGCACCAAGCAAAATACCACAGCTGGTTCACGGTTGGTTTGGAAAGGGCTGCTGAGCCTTGGTTAACCCAGTGGGAAACTGCAAGGCCTGTCAGCAGACTCATACCACTTCTGAAGATGTGGAAGATGAGATCCCCTGGGCAGCTGTGAGGGTTCTGTCTCTGTGTTTTCGGATAAGCCTGTCTCCCAAAGTATCCCACTGTGGTTTGAACCGCACTGGGCTCTTGACAAACATCTGACTACAGAATGTAAACCCACAGCAGAGGGAACCTTCCGGCAGCTTTGGTGTCTGGTTTCTGGACGGGAAGATGGGGAGGGTGACAGCACGGTATCATATCTCCTACCAGAAATCCCAGAGCTTTGAAGGGCAGTCAGCATTTGTTTGTAAAGGCAACAGATCTGACCAAACAGGTTGGCGCTCAGCCACCCTGAGGACAATAACCGTGATTATCCTCCTTGTCAGTACAATTGCAGGATACTGATTTGGTTGTATTTTCAATGTAGTATATAGTTTGTCTGTATTTCTTTTCAATAAATGTCTGAGCAGGAGAGCACCCCTCAGACTGTATTTGAAAACACACGTGTGTAGCATCTCTGGGACAGGTCACATTAGTTGCTGTGATTAGCTGCTGTTGTCTCGGTGCCACTCTTGTTTCGTAAGCCTGGCATGCCTCTGCCTGCTTGCTCTGAAGCAAGCTCCTACCTGCTGCTTCAGCTGGTATGACCTGTGCTTACTTTCAGGAATGAACTCAATCCTGGTCTACATTGGACACGAAGTCTTTGAAAACTATTTCCCTTTTAAGTGGAAGATGCAAGACAGTCAATCCCATGCAGAGCATCTGACTCAAAACCTGACTGCGACAACTCTGTGGGTCACAATATCATACTTACTGTACAGGAAAAGGATATTCTGGAAAATCTGATAGAGGCGGGCAAGGTCTGGCAGGTCTAGATTCTGATGGGGCAACTGCGTAAGGTGGATTAGCCTGAAATACTGCCACTTGCGCTAGGCTGTACTACTAAAAAGGGATCCCAGTTCAAGTTTACATTGCCATGGAAGTTGCCATCAAGACTTCTATGTGACTTAAGGGACAGTATTTTCCTACTCAGCAAAAACTTGCTATTCTGCTGCAGTTGGTCTCTTTCTGTTTTCTGCATTTTGTAAATATTTTAGATTTCCCTCCTTGATAGAAACTGAATATATTGCAACAGTTGAGCAAAGACAGCCTGAAGGTGCTCACAAAAGGAACACAAGGGATGGTGACTGCAAGGGATGATGAGAACGGGACTGTGGTAACAGCGGTGGGATCTCACAAGGCAGCCCTAACTCACGTGGTCGGGGGTTTGTGCATTGTGCCACTCTGGCTAGTGCTGCACGTTTAACTCTGCCGTTTTTTTGACTCGGGAGCACCAGCAGCATCCTCAGCCCTGCACTTGCGCTGGCAGTGCAGAGTGGGAGAGCTCGGGGGCACCGGTGTGCTACAGCACGCTGCGGAGAGCAGCGACTCAGCTGATCGTTCTTCCTCGTGTCCTTCCCTTTTGCTCTTGGATCAGAACCCTGGGTTTAGGATCCT